CACACTAGACCATGTCGCCCAAGGCCCTGTCCAACCTGGCCTTGAACACTGCCAGGGACGAAGCATTTTCCACTTCTTTGGGCAAGCCATTCCAGTGCCTCACCACCCTTACAGTAATGAATTTCTTCCTTATATCTAACCTGAACTTTCCCTGTTTAAGTTTAAACCCATTACCCCTTGTCCTATTGTTACAGTCCCTGATGAAGAGTCCCTCTCTGGTATCCTTGTAGGTATGTCCAGATAGACGATGTCAACTGCTTTGCCCCTATCTATCACTTCTGTAGCCCCATCATAGAAGGCCACCAAATTGATCAGACAGGATTTTCCCTTAGTGAAGCCATGCTGGCTGTCATCAACCACCTTGGCATTTTCATATGCCTTAGCATGCCTTCCATGAGAATTTGTTCCATGACCCTGCCAGCCACAGAGGTGAGACTGCCTAATCTGTAGTTCCCCAGTGCTTCCATTTTCCCCTTCTTGAAAATGGGGGTTATATTTCCCTTTTTCCAGTCATTGGGAACTTCACCTGACTGCCATGATTTTTCAAATATGATGGGCAGTGGCTTAGCAACTTCGTTTGCCAGCTCCTTCAGGACCTGTGGATTGATTTCATCAGGTCCCATGGACTTGTGCATGCTCAGGTTCTTAAGATGATCTTGATCCTCTCCTACAATAGGCCTAAGGTGCTCATTCTCACAGTCCCTGCATTTGTCTTCCAAGACTTGAACAGCATGGCTAGAGCACCTGGCAGTGAAGACTGACATGTAAATCTTGAAAAATAGCTTGCAAGTGTTTTAAGCATGAAAAATCTGTTTCTGCAAAAAAACAAATGCCTAACAATGCCTAACAATGGCATTTCTTCATGTCATGGCTGTATGTTACAGGAAAAATACAAGTCACAGTTTAAGCGAGGTAACAGGGTAATATATGAGTGAAAGGGTTCCCGGCTGTCAGGAGAAGACCTGGCAACTGAAAAGTGAGAGAAAAATAAGGCATCATGAAAGAAGAATTAAAGCAGTGCTGTTTAGTCTCTCCTTTCTAAAATGGCACAGCTATGTTGAAGTATTTAAACCTATTATAGGAACACAGACACCCACACATTCCCCGATGCATGCAACATGCCACACTATCTTCAAGAGACTGATGAATGAAGTTTGTCAAGAAAGAGAAAGCGCGCCTTCATTTCAAGGAGAATTTCCAGAAAAACAGATCCAAATAGATTAAAAAAGAAAGAGCGGATGGAAAAAAAAAAAAAAAACCCAACAAAAAACAACAACAACAACAACAACAAAAAAGATGGATCAAGAGTTTGTGAAATGCCCCTCCTGTATGCTGTGAGTGTGAAATTGCTTAATTGGCTCTGCCAGCTTCAAAAGTTACTGCGGCCACAACAGTCCCTTCACCTGGAGGTTTCTTCCCTAACCTAGTAAAAGGGGTCGAATAAGAAAACCTTACCGTGTTAGATTTTAGTGATGTGGTAGACTTCCTACAGCTGTGGATGGAGACAATGGCTCTCTCTCTGGTAACCCCAGGTGGAAGACTAAAAATTGAACACCCTGTAGGCTGATTACCTGAGAGTGGCTGAAAGGCAGTTCACAATAACAACGTATTTTACAACTTGTAAGCATAATCCATTTGTATTTTCCCTCTCTCCACTTCCAGCAGGTCAGAAGATACTTGTGCCTGCAAATAATCAATCTGAGCTATATCTTGGCTACCTTAACACTGCCAGTAAAAAATAAAATGATAATAAAAAGCTTTTACATTCATCAAACACAAGAAGGCCAATGGCATCCTGGGTTGTATTAGAAGGGGGGTGGTTAGTAGGTCAAGAGAGGTCCTCCTTCCCCTCTACTCTGCCCTGGTGAGACCTCATCTGGAATATTGTGTCCAGTTCTGGGCCCCTCAGTTTAAAAAGGACAGGGACCTGCTGGAGAGAGTCCAGCGCAGGGCAACTAAGATGATTAAGGGAGTGGAGCATCTCCCTTATGAGGAAAGACTGAGGGAGCTGGGTCTCTATAGTTTGGAGAAGAGGAGATTGAGGGGTGACCTTATTAGTGTATATAAATATATAAAGGGGGAGTGTCAGAGGATGGAGCCAGGCTCTTCTCAGTGGCAAACAATGAAAGGACAAGGGGAATGGGTACAAATGGACACAAGAGGTTCCACTTAAACCTGAGAAGAAACTTCTTCTCAGTGGGGTGACGAACACTGGAACAGGCTGCCCAGGGAGGTTGTGGAATCTCCTTCTTTGGAGACATTCAAAACCCGCCTGGACACGTTCCTGTGTAACCTTATCTAGGTGTTCCTGCTCTGGCAGGGGGATTGGACTAGATGATCTTTTGAGGTCCCTTCCAATCTCTAACCTACTGTGATACTGTGATACTGTGAAACACACCAACCTCACCCAAAAAGGATTTTTATGTGTACATTTTGTTTTAAAAACAAGTACTAAAGAAGGCAATATCTCAGAGATCTCTGCTTGGGACAGTTACTGACAGCATCAGAAGAGATCCAACATCCAACATGCAGTGTTTAGAAAAAAGAATTAGTTGATCTTGTAATATCAACTTTGAAACTGCCTTCTCTAGCACCTAGAGAGAGCTTGCCCTTCAGGCAGGTTTTTACAGGCTCTCACAGCTTTACTTTGATTGCTGTTGTAGCTGAAATATATAGCTTTAATATGAAGGGATTATCTGTTATCCTGCCCTTTGGGAGAACCTCATGCTGTGACAAAGACTTTTCTGTGCTTAATCTCTTAAATTTAACAAAACTAACAAAAGTACAGCACATCTAGCATTACATTTTTTTTTTCCATAATGCCACTCATACCCTTGAGGGCTAAGTAATCACTGAATGGTATTTAACCTCATCACATCTGAATTTTAATTCTCTGATAAACTGAAGTTTGATGACATTTTTGGGTTCATAATCTGAATTGGCTAATGTCACGCTGCTCAATATGTCCTTTCTCTACTGTATTTCAGGGGAAAGAACCAAGTCAGAAAGGACTAGATCACAGCCCTGCAAATAAAAAAAAACCAAACCAACATCAACATCATGCACTTCAGGATCAACTGATTTTGGTATCCTCTGTCAAGTTTTACCCACAAGGATTACCCCTTGGTATCAACAGAACCATTTAATCCCTAGTTGTTATTCGGTATATTCCCTCCTGGCTCAGAAAAATCTTCACCAGCGGCTACTCTTTTCATGAGAGACTTAATAACCTGCTAGTGAAAGGACATTAGTTTGTTTCAACTTAGATCATACAAACCAGAGTTCTTTAAAGAACAAAAGCAGGAACAAAACCAGAGGGTTTATGCTGGGCTACGTGGCCCATCCTCATACTAGTGACACTTTCAAAGCTGAAGGGCACAAAGAAGGCAGAATATTGCTTGTCCAGAGTGTTACAGGCAAGCTTAGGACACTTAGCTTCACAGAGGTAATATGCCCAAAGAAAGCAGGAAGCCCAAGTCCTGCACCCTCCAGTGGGATATGGATTTGTGGGAATTGTGCTTGCAGCTAAGAACCATCATGTGTTACAACCAAGAATTTCAATTTATTTTAAAGACAAGGAAAACTGAATTTTATTAAAAAACTGTGTTTTTTTTTTTTAGAAAAACTTAATTTTTTAAGAATAAGATAACCCAACAAACTTTCTCAGTTAAAAACTGGATTTACTTTAAAGACAAAGACAACCTACAGATTGTAATTTTGCATAAGTAATTAGGGTTATGTTAAGTAAATCACTAAAAGTAAAATCAAATAAAAGTCTTCTCCTCCCATTTCAATTCACTTGCTCTTGGATTCAAATATGCATACAAATACAGGAGGTTATACCTTGTTCATGTTTTCTGACCTGAAGAATATGCTGCAATGCAGATGAACTTGAGCAGACACCACCATTTCTTCCCTTCTACTGGCAGCACTTCCAGGGAAGCACTTCCATGTGTTCATACATGGAAGGTGATTTCTTCGTGCCCTCTCAGCAATGCCAACTCACAAGCAAACAGTGTTATGCACTGAAAAGGATTATAAGGAGTTTCTCCTTAAAGGAAACATAATATTATGTGCCAAGACCTTCCTTTGGAACACACTGTTTCTACAAGCTCAAAGCAAAGTAAGCAATATAAAAGACTACTTGAATGTTAAAATAGAGAATTCAAATGTTAAAATAGAGAACATGTAATTACATCATATAACACAGCATCTGTAAGAATATCTTAATTGGGAAGAGCCTCACTAGGTTATGTATTTCTGCTGACCAAAACATACAGGGTTCACTTGGTGTAAGTCTACAGTCACAAAAGAAAAAACAACCTCACAACAGTCCCATCTAGCCATATAATCCATAAATCTAGTCATCTTAAAGGAAAAAACACAGCAATTCTTACACACACACAGCTCTACACTGAAGGCAGAATTCACACTAGCAAAAATTACCAGGCAGCAAAGCAGGAATAACAACAAAGATCATCTGTATGCTCAGTGCTTGTTTTGTTACTGCACAAAATCACCTCCATATATATATCCAAGGCAGGGAGGTTGGAACTAGATAATCCTAAGGTTCTTTCCAACCCTAACCATTTTATGATGCTATTATTCACCTTCCAATTTCCTTTTGCTTTCATTTTCAGTGGTTAAAAAGACCAAAGATCTTGTCAATAGCCCTTCTAACTCAGCACATTCTTCAATGAAATGTAAACCACTAACAGTAGCGCTGAAGGGTGAAAGATCATCTTTCCACGTCTCCAGATTTTTAAAATCGGAGGCAGCAGGCTACTACCCAAAGAACACAGTACAAAGCAGGAGCCTCTAACTGAATGTGCATGGAGAGCTCGAGAGCAGAGAGATGGAAAGGCTGTTGTGCTGGAGGATGCAGAGTTTATGTATTCTTTACCAAGCAGCTGAGGATCCTGTTTAATCACAGTCCAATTCAGGTCTCAGTCCTTGATCCTCACAGAGGTCTCCTTTGGCACAGTGTCTGCTTTTCTTACCTCTGATGAGGCCAGGAGAAGAATACTGAGCATCCACATAAGTAGAAAGGACTTAGATCTACTCATAGTATTCCAGTCTGTGAAGAAGAGGGAAACTGAGGAAATTAGCCATTAACTTTATAAGAAAAGAATTCTTATTTTTTAAAGATGTTTACTATGCTTTTTCTGCTTCTTTACAAAGCTAGTTGTACAAAGAAAATGTTTTTGTTTCAAGGGATTTTTGCATTACTATTTCAGTTGCAATGTTTGTGTGCCAAGCAGAGAAACAATATAATGTAAACCGCTAGGCAAAATATATCCATCTGGTGGCTACCCATCCCTACACCAAAGAAACAGATGGATGAACCCAGCCAGATCATAAGGCGACTGTGCCACTTCATAAATAATTTTCTTGAGGACTCCTAATACTTGTATCAATGCCATGAATGTTATATTTTTGTTGTTGCTTTTAAATTACTTTCTTCCAATTGTTACCATTTTGGTGGGTATGTAGTCTGAGTGTTAAATCCTTTTATCTTCCCTGTTAGCAGAATGGTAAAAATTAAGATTTTTGTTCTGCTACCAGATAGCCAGGAGAAGAAATAACTTTTCCATTCATTCTGGTGGGCATCACATTAACGTTGATGTCCAGTTTTGTCCTTCTTGCTGATGCCAGCAATATCCTTAAAATACATTTGTAGAGGTCAGTCTTGCAGTTCATCAATAAGAAGAGAAACCTGTCTCCATCTATGGCAAATGACAAAGAAGGTCTACAAGAAAGTCATTGATTTCCTCCTTTCTTTTTGCTCATTTGTTACAGTATTTCATTCCAGAAAAACAACCGTCTTCATTGTTAATATGTGTATTATTTTCTAAATAAAATTCTATTTATTTTATAATTGAATAATAGAAGCAGGAAGATATCTAGGAAAGGAAATGACAAGTAGATAAAAAGATGAACAAGAGGAATTCTAATAAGAAAACTATATGAGAAAATATGTTTTTTTTTCAACAATTCAAGAGTGAATATAAATTTGAAGCATAATAAAAACTAAATGTTTGTTTGAGTAAGAAGGAAACCAATCAAAGAAAGCAATCATGTAGAAAACCATCCCTTCCAATGGTAATTATACCTCTATTCCAAACAGGCAGACAATGTTTGAGACTTGGTGCAAGCTACATTTTTGTCTCCATGTTATCGTCTGCACTCATTCAAAAGTACAACCGCTGCTCCAGTTGAATCCTTGAATTACTCATGCTTCCATCCTGGTAATGTAGCTGAAGATGGAAAAAGGTATTATTTCTGAAAAATTATAATGAAGAAAGTATGAATATAGGTGACAAACTCAGGCAGACTTGGTTCAGAGAATTAACATGATAGCTTGTTTTTCACTTCCTAGCTAGTTTGCCTGTATCTGGATTCAGAACATGTTTATAACAAATGATGGAATTTACTTTTTTTTTTAATGCAGAAATTAGATGCTAAGCAAGGCATATTTTTATACTAATTCCATCCCTTCCATGCATTCCTTTTTAGCTGATCTCATTTGTGTGCAGTACAACACTTCTACTACGAGAAGTGTAATTTCTTCTTATGCCACATTAGGGGAAACTGTTTTATGATCCAATTGTGCTAACTTATTTTCTTACTATGAATTCTTTATTGATGCTCATACTACTTAAAAGTTAAATAATGTATAGTATACCATATATAGTATATTATCTATATGTAATATACAATATTTTTCACATTTATCATTGAAAAAATAGATCATCTGATACCATCCTTACCTAAATTAAAAAATGGACTATGACTCTTGTGCAGAACTTCCTTCTGTCCTCATACCTAACAAAATATATAATGAAATCAAATGAAGAAAAATATTTCATTAGCTGAATCAGTCTTCCCAGAAAAAGTAACTAGATTTGGTAATATAAATGTTAACTTTGCCATTGTTAAATCACTCATTAAACTTGTGAACACTCAGAACTCATTATCCTTTGCAGGATAAGAAGCAGTAGAGTAAGATAACATCAAAATACATATCTTTTGCCAGCTACACATACATACATACTTGCCTGTCTTAGCCATAACTAACGAATGAAGAGCCTCTTAATTTCCAGAACCTCTAGCTCAACTACGCTTAAGACTTTCAAAGATCAAGAATTCAGCGTAGCTGGCACTAACGTGTTTTATTACTTTGTTTTTGGTTTGTTTTGAGTTGGGTTTTTTTCCCCCTTATTACAGCACTGAACAATGAAATACAACAACTGCTCTTCAGCAGGCTGAAGGGCAATAATTCAAGGACATTGACTATAAAGTAAAAAATGTGGCTTTGACTGATGTAACAATAAGCAGAATAGTCAAAAAAAGGACATTTTTTTCTGTGAAATCTCTAATAAAATCACAGAGTGATAACCCTTTGAAACTAGCAAGGAATAAATATTTTGAAGATACTGATGTTTTGTAACAGCATTAATTTCCATGGATATTTGAGTATTTCATAGATATTTTAATTTTAAATAAAATTACTTTAAATTTTGGATGACTTTGATGTTTTCATTCTACAGACCACAGCTAAGCATACTTGTTCATTTCAATAAGGGGTATTTTCCTCCATCTTCTTGATCATTTAGAAACGCTTGCCAGAATTTCAGTTCCAACCATAGGTCCCTGCAACCTCTCAGTATGCAGCATCTGGATACCTTACACAAGCCCTTTCTCACTATTGCTCCACCACATCTTTTCCCATAAAGCTTCCAAAATATCCAACTCCCCCTCTGTGCCACAGTATGAGTACTTGTGACATACTTTCCAAGTGAATCAGGCCTGGTCCTAGTACAAGAACCTGGGGAACTTCATTGCTTCCCTCTCTTAAATGCCAAAACTGCTCATGTTTCCTTATCACACACTTCCTATGTACGACTGACCTTTCTGAAGTGCTTCAGTGTGCTCAAGCAGCATACTTGATGTGCAAACACTCAGGATGAGAATCCTATGAAAATACTACATATGGTGTAAGAACAGATTTAATTAATACACCTAAACAACAGCTTAACTTATATTCTACAGCAAAGATGCACAATCAACAAAACAAAGAATTATTAAACTAATAAAGGCTGATATTTCTGCTACCTTATCTGCAGCAAAGAATACTCCACCCTACTTGCCCAATTCACGATCAGCAAGGAAATCTAAAGCTTTAAATTGGCATATTCATATTGAGTACATAAGACCTTTTAGGCTAAGAGTATGTTATTCCTGTTTCTCATTGAAACCAAAAATCTAGATTCACATTTACTAAGTCCAAGTGGTATCGATGTAAAAAAAAAAAAAAAAAATTCCCTACACATCTCAACTATAATAAAATAACATTGTATGATTTTTTTTTCTTTAAGTCATCATGTAGTGAAATTGGAAACCAAGCATACAGTGGGAATACCATAGGGATTTTTACACTGCCTATTTGTTTTGTTATGATTATAGACAGGAAGTAATTCAAGCTATTGCTCCTCACTAATTCAGAAGGAAAAAACTCATTTTATTTTTCATTGGGCAAATGTCACATAAAAGTAATTTTATGAAATGCCTATAACTGGTACTGAAGAAAGACACACAGTGGTTTTCAAACCCTGCAAACCACCTGAGCTGTGACCAGCTGAATAAATTTCACTATAAATTTATTTCAGAATTCTCAGAAGACAATTATTTGATCCCTGTTACATGCATCTGCAGGCTGCCAGAGCTGGAAATTTGAACTCATGTTAATTAATAGTTTTAATTAAACCATGAAAAATACAAACACATTAAGTGTGCTGATATACTAAGCTCGAAACAGAGATGGATTCATACATAAAATGCTGCAAGGTATGATTGCATACTATGATTATTAAAGCTTACAAATCAGTTACAACTATAAAACTGCCACTGAGAATATTTACACAAAAAAAAACAAACAAGTTATTTCATTCTCATATCATGAAAGCTCTTCTATTAAACTGCTTCTTATCAAGACAACCTTAGCTAAAAGAGGCTGCATTAAGAAAATCACTCAAATCTAAAAATATAGACTTTTTTCTAACACAAACCTAAAAAGACTAAAATAACCTTGGATAAAACTGTACACGCTTATTCTCAGCGTAACAGGAATATTATGTAGACAACATGCAATTATGAAAAAACTTCAGAACAACAATGAAAAAATCCAAACAAGTGATAATACCAATATCATCACAAGGCCTATGCTGCAGGAACAAATCCAAGCTGTGCACAGGAAATAGTATAGCTATCACAAAACAAAAATGAGTAACCTTTGTCACTGAAAAATGTGATTTCAAGTGTCTTTCCTGGACAAAAATGGATGTTATTAAACTGCTCCTTCTCTCTGCCTCTGTACTGCTTTTATCATGGACACATGCAAATATCAAACCTTAACATGTTTACATATATTTTCCTCGGTGGGCAGAAAAAAGTTTGTCATATGTTCAACTAACCTTCACATTAGCTATTCTGTTCCACTCCTTTGAGGACTGATGAAAGCAAAGTAAATTACTTTTTTCTGTTCTCACAACTGGTTTCAGCTGGGTTTGGGTTAGTTTCCTTTCTAGTAGCTGTTAGTACTGTGCTTTTTCAATTGAGTATAAGAATAATGTTGATAACACACCTGTGTTTCAGTTGTCACTAAGTAGGCAAGAACTGTTCAGTTTCTCTTGCTCTGCCAAAAAACACAGAACTGTACCAGGTATTAGGAAGAAACTTAACTCTATCCCAGCTGAAACCAGGACATCTCACCCTTACAAGCTTTCTACATGACACAAACACACCAACTCATGGCAGAATAAAATGAACCACTTACAGAGAAGAACAATAATCTTGGCTCATTAAGATAAAGTGGACTATGCTAAATTACATGAGCACACTGCACCTATATTTTCCCATATAACACTTCCATTTGTCAGCAAGGTACTCTAAAAATGCAAATACTGTCCAATGTATGAAGGACAGCAGCAGCAACAGTGCCACCACAGTGACCCTTTGCCACCTCTGTTTTCCAGTGTTTGCCCATCCTTTGCTAACCCAGCTTCTGTGTCCCTTTGA